AGACCCGGGTGCCGCATGACGGAGTGAGCTCCCGTCTCTAGTTCCAGCTCCTGCCAACCTAGCAGTTCGAAAGCAAGAAACTGCAAGTAGATAAATAGGTGCCACTTCAGTGGGAAGGTAACAGCGTTCTGTGCGCCTTGGTGTTTAGTCACGCCGGTCACATGACCACGGAAACGTCTTTGGACAGCGCTGGCTCTTCAGCTTTGAAACGGAGATGAGCACCGCAACCCTAGAGTCGGATTCGACTGGCTTTCAAGCAAGGGAACCTTTACCTTTAATATCCAGCTGGTACCTTCCCGCCCTTTATTTAAACCTATTCTTGCGAGTCCCATCCTGTACTGCAAACAGGAACAGCTCCCTGCCCTCCTCCAAGTGAAAGCCTTTCAAATACTTCAAGAGAGCCATCATGTCCCCCTCAACCTCCCCTTCTCCAGACTGAACATTCCCAAGTTCCTCAGCCTTTCCTCATAGGGCTTCTCGGTCTCCAGGCCCCAGATCTTCCTCGTGGCTTCCAGAGTCAAAGAGGAAAACCTCTTTGCCTATATAGTGAATGGGCATTCGTGCTTCTTAATTAGTCATGAAATACTTACACACTAATATCTCCTCACAGCATCAGGGTAGGGTGCAGGAGGAGAGTCGTGAGATTATGTTTTGCCCTAGGCTGTGGGTCAGCACTGGAACATCTGTGATCAGATTTCCCCAGCCTTTTTCAGAAGAACGCAGCAACCTTCTCGCGTCCTTGGGAGCTTGTGGGTCTGTGGTTAGAGTATCAGACTAGAGTGTGGGAGACAGGGGTTTTATATCCCTCCTTTGCTGTGGAATTTCACTGGGTGACCTTGTACCACTCGCTCTCTCAGCCTAGCCTGTCTCGCAGGGTTGTTGTTAGGATAGAGGAGGGGAGAACAGTGTTATAAAGCTACTTACAGGAGGAAAGCAGGGTATAAATCTTGAAATAAATGAGATCAGGGTCATGATGTGGGGAGAGCAGAAATTAACCTGGGGTGTGCATTTGGATATACCAGAGCTAAAAATCAACTCGAAATTAGCTCTTTCAGGGTTGGCTAGGGTGTATCCAAAATAAACAAAAACACTCCTAAAATTCTGGGAGTTAACAAAGATTTATCTCCTAGAATTTTGGGAGTGCTTCAGGTTTCAGAGAGAGAGAGAGAGAGTGAGTGAGAGAGAGAGAAGTTGGCCCTGCCAGCTGCTCTTTTGGGAACATCTCTGTCCTTTTAAATTTTAAAGGACCATTATTTCCTATGGGCAGAACTGCCTTCCAAGGTCTGCTCCCATAAAACATAATGACCCTTTAAAATTTAAAGAAGCTGGGGACACTTAGACTTGTGCATTCCTTTGATTATTAATTACAATAATTACAAAAATGGCATGTCCCGTAATTGTCTTAATTTTTTTTTCTTTCAAAAAACGTAAGTTTATTTAGAATATTTTGTAATACAGAGTTGGAGATGGAGAAGGTAAAGGTGCACACAGTTTTCTATAATGGCTTTAAACGGTTCTTAACTTATACAAATAAGTATACTTACAATACAAATCACAGCTTTTCATAAAGTCTGATTCATACATAACTATAAAAGATGTAATTGTTCAAATAAAATGTAATTGTCTTAATTAACATGAAAACTAAACAGCCTATAATGAAGAGCAAAACAAACATGGGTTGCGGTCACACGCACGAGATAACACGCGGGGGAAGCAAGGCTATTTACCCTGGAGGAAATTGACCCACAGTTGGGCGATCACACAGTTCTTTGAAGCGGCGGGCATAGCCCGCCACTGCGTGATCAGACACAATCGCGGGTGAGTTGGGTTTGGGGTTTTTTGCTGTTTGTTTTCGACGCGATTAAACGGAGGATCAATGAATCGCATCTCCACACTGAGGGCTTCCTACGGCAGTATGCGATGATGCACATACTGAGAAGGGGGAAAACCAACGACACGGAGTCGGGATGGCCAGATCAGACCATCCGAACGCCATGAGAGCGTGCTGGAGCGATCACACAGGGGAAAGTCCGTCTGTGTTCCGTAGCAACCCGTTTGCTACTGGACTTTTCCCAGTGTCTTTTTACTCCGCTCTTCGGGGGAGCAAAGCAGGTTGCCGACGGGTGCGGAACGCTTGCCAGATGTTCCCGTGTGTTCGCGCCCTTAAAATCTGCCCGCCATTCGTGCCTATCGTGCGGCTAATTCTGCGTGTGATCGGGACCATTATCTTGTTTTGTTTTGTTCTGGTTTCTTGCATTATTTCAGTCTCTGCCTCTATTGGTTTCACTTTTACAAGGCAGACAATATTTGCCTCATGAAGGCATAGAGCAAAGTGTCCCTTAGGGGGAGGGGAGAGTAGGGTTGTCAGGTCTTCCCTGCAGCCCCCAGCAAAAGATGGGTGGGGGTTGGGTTGCCAGATCCAAGTTGGGAAACTCCTGGAGATTTGGGGGTGGAGCCTGGGGAGGACAGGGACCTCAGTGGGGCACAGTGCCACAGAGTCGACCCTCCAAAGCATCCACTTTCTCCAGGGGAACGAATAGAGTTGCCAGTTTCAGATTGGAAAATACCTGGAGATTTGGGATTGGAGCCTGGGGAGTGCGGGCTTTGGGGCAGGAAGGGACTTCAGCAAGTATAATGCAATAGAGTCCACCCTCCAAAGCAGCCATTTCCTCCAGGGGAATGGATCTTGGTTGTCTGGAAACCAGCTGTAACAGCAGGAGATCTTCAGGTGTCACCTGGAACTCGGTAACCCTAGGAACTAATCTCTGTAGACTGTAATTCTGGGGGATCCTCAGGTCCCACTTGGAGGCTGGCATCCCTAGAGGAGAGAGGGAGGCCCTACGCTTGTTCCGATTGATTGCAAACTGTAGCCATTAGCATTACATACATGTGGGGTTACCAGCTCCAGGTTGGGAACTTCCTAGAGATTTGGGAGGTGGAGCCTAGGGAGGGCAGGGTTTGAGGAAGAGAGGGACCTCAGCAGGGTACAATGTACGCTCCAGTACAGCCATTTTCACCAGGGGAACTGATCTTGGTCATCTGGAGATCAGTTATAGTTCTGGGATATCTCCAGGCCCCACCTGGAGTTTTTTTTCAGTATGGAATAACAAGAAGAAATAGAAATAGAACTACTGCAATCCGTGCAATCAAAAGCTGAATATAATATCTAAATGGATACAAAATTACAAATCACATATTCACTAATAACATTATCATTTACAGATGAATAAGTAAGATGATGGACGAAATTCCCCGGAGTTGATGTTCCGTTTCGTGATGACTTCTTCACACATCAAACCTCATACAGACGTGCCTTCATATGGTCACAAAAAGTTTTCCAAATGGATTTTTCTTAATTCCTATACGTTTCTGGTGTTCATTCGCATAGTGATCAGCCCGCATTTGACACTATGGTTTGATAGCACTATGCGAATGAACACCAGAAACGGAACATCAACTCCGGGGAATTTCGTCCATCATCTTACTTATTCATCTGTAAATGATAATGTTATTAGTGAATATGTGATTTGTAATTTTGTATCCATTTAGATATTATATCAAGCTTTTGATTGCACAGATTGCAGTAGTTCTATTTCTATCCCACCTGGAGGTTGGTAAGCCTACATACATATGACCTGGCTTTTATTAGTTTGCAGGTTCCTCGTAGTAGTGTCCTTCAAGCAATGTGGCTTCACTGCACTGCGGTGCTCTCTGTGTTACTGTTTGGCATATTTCCTCTCAGGTCCCCCATAGGCTTTAACAGGGGTCCCTTTCATTGCAGGGAAGGGGTGTGTGTTGTTCTGTTTGTCTGAAATTCAGCAGTGCAGGTGTCCTGGGTCCCCCTTTGAGCTTTGTCCAGTTTGGATGGAAAATCGTGAAGGTGCAGAACCGAGTAAACGGCGGGGGCATCTTGAACCTTACGGGAAACAATAACCAAAAGAAGTATGAAAACGACACAATGATAAAAGAAACAAGAGCCAGACAATGACTCAGTGTGGCGTAGTGATTAAAAGTGTTGGACTACGATCTGGGACCCCCAGGTCTGAATCCCTATTCAAGCCATAGAAGCTCACTGGGTGACCTTGGGCCAGTCACACTCTCTCAGCTAAATTTACCTCATGGGGTTTGTTGTGAGGATAAAATGGAGGAGAGGAGAATGATGATGTAGGCCGCTTTTGAGTCCCCACTGAGGAGAAAGGCAGGGTATAAGTGAATTAAATAAACAGGACTCTGCTAAACCACCTGATGACAAAACAGGCCTTTTTGGAATTAAAACCAAAAGCCAAAAGAAATGAACCAAACTCCCATGCACGAGTCTAACACTGACTAACAGCAGAGCAGGTGGTCGTGACCTCAGGGGGCTGCAGCCCTTAGGAAATAATGGCTCCATTATTTCTTAGGGAAGGTAGAGAGGCCTGGTCTACCCATGGGAAATGGGTTTGCTATCAAACTCCAAATCTCTCTAGGGCGAGAACTAGGCCACTCATTTCCTTTTGTGAGCGCTGCTTGTGGCACACCTCTTATGCGCTGTATCCATGCTGCTCCCTGAGATTTGGTGATAAACCAGTGTGGTTATAGCTGTTACAGTACTGTCGGGACTCAAGAGAGCTGCGTTCAAATCTGTACTTAGTCACGAAGCTCCCTGGATGACCTTGGGCCAGTCCTTCTGTCTCTGCCTAACCTAACTCACAGAAGTGTTGTGAAGATAAAATTGCAAAGGGGGGAAATTGTGTATGCTATCCTGGGCTCCTGGGATAAGAATAGATGTCTAAATATTGTCTAAATAGACAATACATGTTGGTGTTTGGTCTCCCGCCGTCCGGTCAGTCTGAGGCCTCTTGATCCCCAAAGTTAACAGCAGATCCTTTTTCTGCGGAGTCATTTCCTTTGCCTGAAGGATGCTGCTGCTGTGCTATACTGTGCTGAGTGCATGCAGTAGACAGTTGCTTCCTCACCTTGTAAACTGCCTAAAGAAGTTTCCTTGTTCTTTTCCCTTCCAGACCCCTCTTCCGGACAGTGAATCAGCCTTGGTGCCCAGCCACAACCTGAAGCAGGTAAACATCTCTTGGATTGCCTCTTTGAGAGAGTCCCTGCACAGTATCAGTGGCCCTTCCTGCACTGACAGCTTGCTCCGGAGAATCCAAGGAGTCGAGCCTTAAGAACTGACTTCGCAGTCGCACGCATTCCCTCTGGGCTGGTTTCCCCCCCTCCAGTTTATTTATTTGTGTATTCTGCATGCATTCTGCATCTACAAGCAAAACCTGCATTTTTTTGAGCTAAGTGGCTGCTTTATCTAAGATGAAGAGAAAGGCAACCAGGGAGCTGTTCCTGTTGGCAGCAGACGGGACTCGCAATAATGGGTTTAAATTAAGGGCGGGAAGGTACCGGCTGGATATTAGGAAAAAACCTTTTTTACAGTAAGAGTTGTGCAACAGTGGAATCAGCTGCCTTGGGAGGTGGTGGGCTCCCCCTCACTGGCAGTCTTTAAGCAGCAGCTGGACAAACACTCGTCAGGGATGCTCCGTCTAGGCGGATCGTATGATTCTATGATCTTTCAAATGCCTTCCTCCCTCCCTCCCTCCCTCCCTCCCTCCTTCCTTGATTCTGCAAAAAGAAAGGGAAGGGAGAGGGAAATTCAGGCCCACACATGCAAGACTTTCATGTTTGGGAGCAGGGAATCCCCTAGTCCTTTATATTTACTGATTCCTTCTTACACTCTCTCTGGCTTTTTTCCTCTTTTTTCTTTGAAAAAGGAGGGAAAGAAAACAGAATGGGGAGGGAGCGTCAACCTAAAGAGAGAGAGGCAACAACGGGGGAGGGCAGTGGGCAGGTCTTGAATACCCGCAGAAACAATTCTACTTTAGAAAGGATTAGGGATTTAAAAGCAGAAGAGAACAAAGAATCACAGCAAAAGGAGTTTTGGTAACTCCAGGGCAACAGTGTGCTGGAAGCGGTCTGAATGCAGATTCCTGTAAAATAAATGCTGAAACAAGAAAAAGCCCTGACACAAACTGGAATTGACAGTGGGAGGGAATGCAGAGCGGAAGAAGAGGATGCGCTCAGAAACCAAGGCAAAATCTGGGTGCGGAAAGGGCCAGTATGAAAAATATGCATGGCACCTTGTGGTCACATCGTATTTCACGCAACCATGCCTGCCTAACTCTTAATTTGGCGCCAGGATGGAATTGGGTTTCTGATCTTAAGAATCTTGCCGTTCGTGTTTTTTAAAAGCAAGGCTCTAGCCTGTTATCATGCTGAAGGAAGGGTTGCATCCTCAGTGGAGAGGCACAGTGTTGAAACTGTCTTGCAGTAGCAGCAAACCAGAGCACATTTAGAAGGGCAAAGGCTTCATAGGCATTTTCCCCGCCTTGTGATTGCCAAAAGCAGAATACATTCTGCAATATAAAGCCATAGGTGAAATTGTCTCTAAATCTGCATCATTGATGTAGCCAGCCATATCTGGGTTACTCCACTTAGGCTTGCCAAGTCCCCCCGGGGGGCGGGGAAATCCCCGCCCCAGAGGCCCGTTACCCGCCGGCGGCGGATCGGGCCCCGGGGGAACCCCACCCACAAAGTACGCGACGTGCGCGTCGCCTAGAAGTGATGCGACTATGCCGGGCACGCTGGGGGCGGGGCCACGGTCATCCGAGGGAAAACTCTATGGTTTTCCCTCGGATGGTCGTGGCCCCGCCCCCAGCGTGCCCGACGTAATCACGTCACTTCCGGGTGACGCGGATGTGGCACGCGCGCGCAAAGTGCGTGCACACGCACTCCAGGAGCAACCCGGGAGTCCCCCGCTCCGGATGAAGGTAGGTCTTGGCAACCCTAACTCCACTGCCAAATATATAGCTATTTAACTGAATGGCAGAGTAGGTAGGGTTGCCAACCTCCAGGCGGCACCCAGAGATCTCCCATTATTACAGTCAATCTCCAGATGACCAAGATCAGTTCCCCTGGAGAAAATGGCTTCTTTGGAGGGTGGGCTCTATGGTATTGTACCCTGTTGAGGTTCCTCCCTTCCCCAAATCCCGCCCTCCCCAGGCTCAACCCCCAAAATCTCCAGGTGTTTCCCAACCCAGACCTGCCAACCCTAAATGTAGGGAACATGAAGAGTGTCGCAGCACCGCTTGGCCACAGTTCTAAGAATACTCACCTGGGAGCTAACCCCGCTTGCTAAAATGGGAGTTACTTCTATGTAAGTTGGCACCCCTACTTTGGAAGTATAATAAGAGTGAGCTTCCCGTGGTTGTGAGGATTACAACAAGGCATCTATCAAATGTAGAAGTACTGTAAAAGTAATTCCATGGGGCAATAGTTCCAAAGTTTAAGGGAGTGACCCTGATCGTCGGAACTCCCTTCCCCTTGAAGAACATTTTAGACCCCTCAGCTAGGGTTGCCAGATCCTGGTTGGGGAATACCTGGAGATTTGGGAGATGGAACCTGAGGAGGGTGCGGTTTGTAGAGGGGAGGGACTGCAGCAGGGTATAATGCCACCGAGCCCGCCCTCCATAGCAACCATTTTCTCTAGGGCAACTGATCTGGGTTGTCTGGAGATTAGCTGTAATAGTGGGAGATCTCCACCTGGATCTCGACCTCCTGGAGGAGACCTTCCCTCACTGCAGGCTTTCTGCCATCACCCAAATTTTTTTCCAGAAGGCCTTTTGAATGCAATTCTTGACCTAGAGTTGAACTCTGGCTGTTTTTTGACGCTTTCTGGATTAATGGTTATGTGTGGGTTTGTCCTTTTGTTAACTTGTTTACTTCCTTGAACACTTTCCTTAAAGCGTAAATGTATATAACAAGAGGCGGGACCCGTGATACCCGCGGGGGGGGGGAAGCATTCCCCACAGCTCCCAGCCTACAGAAGCAGGAGATGCGGCAGCAGGCGAGCCCAGCCTTCTCCTTCCCCCCTCCCTCCCCAGCAGCAGCAGTGGCGATGCTGGCCAGCCAGCCGCCAAGTTTTCTCCTTCCCCCCTCCCTCCCCGGCAGTGGCGGCGAGGCTGGCCTGCCAAGCTTCCATCCCCAAGCAGCGGAGGTGGCGAGGCCGGCCCGCCAAGCCTTCTCCCGCCCCCGACCCCTGTGGTGGCGGTGGCGAAGCCTTCTCAGAGCATTCCCTGCACATGCGCAGGGAACACTCCTTTACTTTTGAGGGGATTTAAGTATCCCCCTTGTAGTTTTTTTTACAGTTTTTAGATTTTTCTGCACATCTGGGGATGGCCCCAAATGTGCAGGAAAATCTCCCTGCCCCCCAGGTGCCCCCGATGTGCGGATTTAGATATCCGCACGTGGGGGGCGCCTTTGGCTATTAGATGTATAGATGAATCCAGATGACTGCAGAAAAAATGACATGAGTTACTCAGGAGATCTGTCATGCAGACCTAAGCAGAATTTCACCCTTCTAAGCCGGCTGACTTCAATTAATTTTAAAGGGTGTAACTTGACTGTGTTGAAATGGAAAAAGTCCAGAAATGGCGTTTACACTTTGCAGGGTTGCCAATCTCCAGGTGATATTACAACAAACAGGACCACGGTGTGTAATAACCAGTGAAACAGTGAATCACCGTGTACAATTAAACAATATTTGTTGGTTTTTATATGCAATGTTGAGAATTCAATTATTAACAATAACACTACAATATGTGATATAAAGCTTAGCAGTACATACAAAGTAATACAGTACTAGTTACAGACCAAACGACGGAGTTCTAGTACACTGTCCGTTTGCGTGTCCATCAGGTTTGTCATTCTGCACTTATTTCTTCATTAGAATGAAGTGCTGCAAGCCATATTTCAGAATGCTAATTCTTATACAATTTTTGATGTGCGCTACCGCGCTTAGATGCTGGTGACTGGGGAGCTCCTGTAGCAAGCTCTAATGTGACTGGGTCTCTGAGGGAAGCTTAGCCAACGGATAGTGTACTAGAACTCAGTCGTTTGTTTAATTGTACACGGTGATTTACAATCTCCAGGTGATGACTGGAGGTCTCCTGGGATAGCAGCTGATCTCCAGGCAGCAGAGATGGCTTAGTCAAATCCAATTTTCTACATATTCCAGGGGGGGAAAAACTACTGACCCTTGAGGTCAGCCATTACAAACAGGGCTCTTTTTGTAGAAGAAGCCCAGCAGGAACTTATTAGCATAATAGGCCACACCCAACAGCAGGAACTCATTCGCATATTGGGCCACACCCCTGACAGCACAGGTCATTAGCACATTAGGCCGCACCCACATGTTGCCAGAAGTGTGGTTATCCAGCCACACCCACCTTTTGCTTGTTATTCTGTTTACCTCATTTGTTGTCAAAACCCAGGGCCTTTTTTGTAGCAGGAACTCCTTTGCATGTTAGGCCACACACCCCTAATGTAGCCAATCCTAATGAGTTCCTGCTGTTGGGTGTGGCCTATTATGCTAATGAGTTCCTGCTGGGCGTGGCCAACTTGGGAGCCAGCCGGAACTCCGTTCCTGTGCGTTCCTGCCCAAAAATAACCCTGGATAAATTATGTCTGCCAGCGTGGTATAGTGGTTAAAGTGTTGGACTAGGATCCAGGAAACTCGGGTTCAAATCCCCACTGTGCAGTGGAAGCTTG